AAATGATGCCATAGACGAATCACTTGTTAACGACCCACTAACGGTGTATACGTAAAAATCATATTCTGTGGAAGGGTCTAGTTCTTGTACTGTGTATTGCCCGAGGTTAATGGTTGACACTGTTGTAATATAGGTCTGTATAACACCACCAGCAGAAGCATAGGTCAATCTATAGCTATCAATGTCACCAATAGCAGGTGCCCATGTAAATGTTATTGAGGTGGGTGTGTTGCTTATTTCCACAACAACACCAGGAGATGCAGGAACTGAAAATAATCAAAGATTTGGGTTAATTTATGATTAATTCGCATTGGAAAATAATGTTTTGTAAAAATGAACATCAATTTTAAATTGCCTACTGGGATCCCACAGCTAGCAAAAATAAATGGGGAAAAATCTGTTAGCTGGTGATGCGTTCATAACTTTTTATGGAATACTCTAAGTGTGTTTCCATGCATATTTGTTCATCACTGACAGATCACCAAAAAACAATGGAAATGACATAGTCCCTGTCAGTGAATTTGCATGCGAAATAACTCACTAATATGTTCACAATGTATGCCACCTTTAAATGATGTCTATACTTGTAAATTACCATGACTATGCCTTGTAAATTACCATGACTATAAGTTAAATGTGGTAATATATACTATACACAAAAACATTGAGAAAAATCATGATATTATTACTTCACGGAAAGTTCTCTCGAATAATGCATTGCATATATGTGCAGTGTCAGTATTAAGTTGTGCACAATTTGAATTCAACTCAAAGTGCCTTAAAAATTACCAGTTCTTTGAGTAGTCGTCACTTCGTTCTGTGTTCCCATGATTTCCACTTTCATGGTGTATTCTCTACCGGGATTGAGTCCAGTGAAATTATAACGATATATTTCTTTAGCCTGGAATTTCTGAGATGTGGGTGATGGATTCCCACCATCTGCAGGATCGATGCTTATCAGGTAACCATTGATTTCCGGCCCAGTTCTCACGGCCCAAAGGACTTCAATGAAACTAGATGTGTATGCTTTGATCAGTAGTTCATCTTCAGGTATTGCAGCTAAACATAAAACAAAAGATGAGTTTTATTTTGTGCATATACCCTGAGGGCGCCATGGTGTATGCTTTAATCAATAGTTTATCTGAAGGTATAACAACTGAACTTAAAAACAAAAGATGAATTTTATTGTGTGGATATACCATGAGGGTGCAATAGATGCTTTAATCAATAGTTTATCTGAAGGTATAGCTGCTGAACATAAAAACAAAAGATGAGTTTTATTGTGTGGATATACCATGAGGGCGCCATAGATGCTTTATTGGAGGTAGATATGCATGCTTTGATTGAAAGTATAGCAACTAAACATAAAAACAAAAAGTAAATATTGGTGGATACACTGAGGACACCTATAATTTAAATAAGAAAATGTCTATATTTTCTCTATAATGCTACTAAATAAGCATATCAAAAGAAGGTCATTTGGCATTAGCTCAAAATAGAGTTGCAGAGAGCTCAAAATAGAGTTGCAGAGAGAAAAAACAAACTATTTTTTTAATGTTAAAAAATGTTTTAGGAATAAAAAAAAAATGAATAGCCATACCTGTAGATTGAATAATTACACGAGATTCACTGCGTTCAGCAGTTGTATCATCACCACTCACTGAAACTATCAAAACTGTGTAAAGTGAATCTGGATTCAATCCTTCAATGTTGAAGAAGAGCTCGTCATCTTTGGGTACAATGGCTGCCAGTACTGACTCCTTATTCGGTGTGATATAGGATATTTCATAGTACGAAAGTTCATTTGGCGCTTCCTGCCAAGTCACGTTTATACTCACAGCAGTGTAAGAAGCGACAAATGCAGTGCCGGGCCGGCTCGGAACTGTGAACCCAATATTGTTGTATATTAATTACAGATATTATAAGTATGTCATTTTTTTACAATAGCTTCGCTTGACTAGCAGCTTGTACGTGTCCCTCGTTTGGGCTTTGGATTTCATTCTGACCCCCATTTCAAGGCCGGGCAGCCTCATACAGGGTTTCCCCCTGCTTCTTTTGGTTCTCGAAATCCATTGCTCAGGTAGGAATGTGCTGGGGAGAAGTGGGCCCACTGCCTAATTTTTTAGTTTAATGAATTGTATTTTATTGAATTGTGATTTTATTGGTTTTGTAGTTTGTGTCTGTAAGTTGTTTTTTCTCAATAAAATTGTCTTTGCTTTTCACTTGCTTAACACGTGGACTGTCTTCACGAACAGATAATTATTATGTTATTTCCACAAATGTGAACAAGACAAATCATTTCATCATTCATGTTTATGTATTTTTACAAATTCTTCTTATTTATTAACATCCAAATATTCAGTAATATCATAGCAAGTATGCAGCTGATGTGCAGCAAGTCCTAATAGTGAGTATGGACACAGTTTGCAATGACTATGTGGCTGATGTGCAGTGAATATGTAGTAAAAATAGTTCATTTTGACAAGCTTATGCATGTATTTTAGGAAATATTTAGCAGTCCCTTTAAAAAATAGGTTGAAATTGGAAAAGAATCCTAGCAAAAATCAGATTGGTTCAAAACTCAAATTTTGCGCGAGTATACTAAATATTTGCATGGTCAGACATTGGATGCAACAAGTCACATAAATCCCTTACAACTTCAATAAAGTACTGTAAAGTACTTTATTTTTAAATAGCTTGAATTAATTTTCGCTGAAAAGACTTTTTAGGCGTGTTGTATGGAATTTATTTTCACTGATTTTTAGTGAGTTGAATGTAAAAGATAGAAAAAAAAGTGATATTCGCTGGATTTTATTTTCACTGAATCATTCCTTCAGCGAAAATAGCAAAAATTAATTCACAACTTACTTGTTCTCTGCTGAGCTGTTTCGACCAGAAATTGACCTTGTACTGTAATGGTCAGTGTATACAGCTGACCCGGAAACAGACTGGTAAACGTAACAAGTCTATCTTCACCAACTGATTTAAACACCTGATTTGTGGATCCATCTGTCGGAGCAGGGTCAGTGCGGACCAGGTATCCGACTACACTACCAACTGTTACCTCTCCCCAGGTTAATGTGATAGTGGTCTCTGTCACTGTTTTGATGATAACTTCCGCTGGGTTAGCAGCAACTGTTTGCAAGAATAAAAATGACTAGATTATTAGATGTATACTAAAAAGAAACGTAGAATCATCAAGGGCAACATTTCATTTTTTTTGCTAAATTTTTTGGTCATATGTTGGCCAGAATTTTTTTGGGGAAAATACAAATTTAAAAAAAAAAATGTGGTCTAATTTTGTGAATAATAGATTACATGTACTTGTATGTACAGGTAAGAACTGTATGCTAAACAGTGCAATAACAACATTTTAAAGAAAACATGCCTACATATAATTTGAATAGTCGTTAACAATGAAACAAATTGAATCCTTCAAGTTATGCCTTTCTCAGAAGACTTGTCTCATTATAACAACAAACCATTACTGAGTAGCCTTATTTGGGCAACAGCATACATCTGTTATTCTTCCAATGCACCAGTAAATACATCTTCATTTAAGTGCTCGTGTAATTTTTATTTTATTTTTTAAATTTATTTTTTACCAGGCGACAGTTCAAAATATTGATCGTCACTGTTGTCTCTCCTTGTTGTTTTTTTATGTTCAGATTACAAGTGTTAACATACAGTGCATTTGACTTCAAAACCATATTTGTGTGCAGTCATTTCTCAATCCTGCCATCAAACAGGCCTGGTGGAACACAAGCACCTGCAGACATTAATTAAACCTTCCCCTCAAGCCATCTTAGTGGATAAATTTTGGCCAGTGGATTTAGAGTTCTCATTGAATCTGTGGCATATTCACTCACCCAGGGTGGGGTTGGGCGGGTCAAATGTTTTTTGTGTTCAATCCTATGGAGGTTTTGAGCTTGGGTCTACCAATCACGAGTCTAATGCAACCACCACTACACTGCCAGTGTATATATATTCATTGGCATGTAGAGGAACATACCACATGAACACAAGACACATTGCTTTTTACCATACATAGATATCAAATTTGCATATCCTTATCTTATGTATCCTTGACAGAAAATATTAACTAAAGCCAGTCAGGGTTAAGTTATGTCAAGACTGTACTCTATAAGCTAAGGATATACAGACTCTGCACTGAATACATGAATTATGATGGGTACAAATAATTGATATGTACTTGCCCGTATTCTGTGTATATTGCTTTGGAGTGCTAGTAGTGGCATCCAGTCCTCCTCCAGATATAGTGACAACAGTGATCATATAAGAAGTGTCTGGACTGAGTCCCTCCAGTGTGATTCCAGCCAAACCATTACCATCTACCGGTAGGATAGTCGGTGACACAGTCCTGCCATCTGGGGGATTGTAAGTCACTTTGTAAGATGTAAACTCTCCTCCTATTTGACTATCCCAGAAAACAGAGATGGTTGTTGCGGTAACCTGTCCAGCAAAGAAGGCACCCACAGGATTTGGCACTGTTGGCGAGAATAAACACAGATTAATGTACAAGTACAGTAAAACGTAAATTGTCAACTCTTTAAATTTTATTTGGATGCAACATCACAAACATAAACTTGTCATTCATAAATACCATGCCTTTCAATAAAATTTGCAATCAATTGTCTAACACCAAATGAAAACGGTATACCAGGGGTATTATGCTTTTCCAAAATTGTTTTTTTTTCCCCCAATATTGCTTATACAAACCAAGTGAGATGACACATTATCCTGGAACCGAAGGCAAGTGAATAATACAGCACCTGACACCAGCCTTACACGTGAGTGATATCGCATTTCTAATTGCCAACAATACAAACATTTTCTGAAAGCTTGTGACTCATATGGTGACTCATATGGTGACTCATATGGTGACTCATATGCACAATTAATCACTATATTTAACCTTAGAAAATATTCTATAAACCAGAAACTAATTCATTTCAGGGGAAAGTCTTCCGCAAGGCCAAGACACCACTACACTTAACCTAACCTAACTTAACCCTTACCTTCTGGTTATGAATCGAATGATACAGGTATATGCCCCTCTAGACTACTATACGTGTCCTGAATATATGTATTTAACACTCAGCTAAATTGAATAGTGCATGGTCTCCGATTGAAAGCTAATTGCGTGTGTATTTAGACCATTGAGGATTTATTCAAATTCGTACCCCACAATCAAACTATACAAAGAAATGCACACTTTGACAGTCATATACATGTCAATTAAAATAAGGGAGGCCACACTGGAGGGGCAAAGTTAGGTTTAACCTTTTCACAACCAGTTCCCTTATGTCATCACAAATTCACAAAATAGTTCCATTTATAGTCTGCATTTTCCGTCAGAAGACTGGTGGTGAAAAGGTTAGAGTTCAGGGTGAGGGGGCCATATAGTCTTACTATTGCAAGCCATATTTAGTAGTATTAACAGATGGTAAACTACTGTAGAATACTTTATTTTCGCTTGGAATTTATTTTCGCTATTTTCGCTGAAGGGATGATTCCGTGAAAATAAAATCCAGCAAATATACTTTTTCTCCTATATTTCACATTAAACTCATAAAAAATCAGTGAAAATAAATTCCATACAAAACGCCCAAAAAGCCTTTTCAGCGAAAATTAATTCCAGTGAAAATAGAGTATTCCACAGTAATAACCTTATAACCTTTTAGATTCATAGTGGTTTGTTTTTGAGGTAATATATCTTTAATGTAAATAGAAGTTTCATCATCCAATGCTTTACACACCATCCTTAAACATATCATTGTTTTTCTAAGACATTTGCAGTGGAGATTCGTAACTCCACTTGTAATCAGATAGGAAAACTCCTAACATCCTTTAATTCAATCTTTTCTAGTTTTTTCGAGTTTCTAATGCCACAGTTATGTTATCCACCCTTGTAGCAGTGTTCTTTCAGGAAGTTTAATTTGAGTTTTGTCATCTTCTTTACTTTCAATGACTTTTAATACAATATAAGAATACTGAAAAAATGGGGTCAATGGACTATTTTTTGAGATGTCACGGAGAATGGTCACAATTTACAATTTTCACCGGTTGATATGATTAAAATACATTTTTTATATAACGGTATATATTGCAATTTGCAAAATTATGTTTTCTCAAAATAGAGAACCACTCACATGTTCGTTGTTCTTCTACCAATACAGTATTAGGTCCAGATATTTGTAACCTAATACTATACATCCTGCCAGCAACAAGGTTCAGAAAACTATAGTTGATGCTGGTCCTAGTGGGATCCTTAGCAATATAAGTTGGTCTAATGTCAGAAGGATTATCACCATCAGCTGGGTCAATTGATAATAAGTAACCGGTCACCATTGGATCTTCAACTTCTGACCACAAGATTTCAATCTTGCTTGTATCAAAATGTTGAATTACGATAGTATCAGCTGGCACTTCCTCTGAAAGTATATTATGGAATATGACAATATTAGCTGAAAAACAAACTCAAGAAGTACACACATCTCTTGCAATGAAAACAGTAGTGTGACTTACCAGTAGAATTAATGATGGTGACTGGATCACTGACAACACGACTAGAACCACTACCAGCATAGGTCACTACTTTAAACATGTATTCTGTTCTAGGCTCCAAACCGTCTACCTGGAATTCTAACGAATCGGCTGGTAGTGTTAGCATGCCCACATATGTCTCTGTACCTGCAGAGTCTATGTAAGATATCAGGTAGCCATCAGCATCTCCTGATGCTGCCTCCCAATCGATGGTGACAGTTGTAGTTGTGTAACTTGTAACAGTCACATAACCCGGTGTTGCAGGTTCTGAAAATGAGTTAAATTGATAATCAATTGCAGTGATATAAATACAATATACAGTCATGCTACCAACCATACTATGTTTGGTTGCTATGCTGCTAAGCATACCCCATCTGGTTGTCATGCTGCCAAGCATACCCCATCTGGTTGCTATGCTGCCAAGCATACCTGATATGGTTGCTATGTTGCCAAGCATACCATTTCTGGTTGCTTTGCTGTCATGCATACAACATCTGGTTGGTAGGCTACTACTCAACTATATCTGGTTGCTATGATATTGAACATGTCACATTTGGTTGCTATGCTGCTAAGCATATCATGTCAGGTTTCTATGCTATAAAACTACTGAACGACTTACTTGTATACTGTGTAGCAGTGATACTATTACCAGAAGTTGTCTCTTCTACTGTTATTGTATAAAGTCTACCAGACATCAATTCAAAGAAAGAATAATCCACATAAGTACTAGATGGTTCCTGTACAGCTTGTGGATAACTACCACCATCCTCTGGTGAGAGAGACACCAGGAATAGTCCAGGTGTACTACTGGGATTCAGGTCAGTGTTCCAGATGATATCAATATTATCCAGACTGTATTGTTTAATGATCACTTTGTTGGACTCCACTTCAGCTGAAGAAGTAAAACATTAACACTATGAAAGCTTTCCCTTACTTAAAATTGCATGTGATTTGCGAGACTAGTTGTTCTTAATGAATTCATCAAAACATTGGGACCAGTATGACATAAAAAATCTCTCCTTTAGAAGCACATAGACCAAAAATTGCTTTTATTGTCCTCGATCTGGGATTCACAGAATACAGAATATAGTGATATAATTGTCAAATGCAAGCGTTCTGGCAATTTAATTTAATTTATCACAAAATGTGGAGTAGTGTTAAAAACAAACAAACTTTATACTTGTCACATTAAAAACACGTAGAGATGTAAAGATAGATTTCAAGGTTTACATACCTGTAGTACCAGAGCTAGCGACTGCATCACTGACTAATGCTGAATCCCCAGTGCCTACTTTACTATAAACACTGACATCGTACTGTGAACCAGGATTCAAACCTGTTACTGTGAAGGTAATATCATCTTTAGTGGTTGTTCCAGCATATATTTCTTCACCGTCATCTGGTACGTAGTAGATTTCATACGTTTGGACAACTCCACTCGCCTGTTCCCATATTACCAACAGGCTAGTAGATTCAGTGCTGGTCACTATTATGTTCTTTGGTGGTAAAGGGACTAAAAGTAAAAAACAAATGCAAATGTTTCCATCCTAGCAATTTAAACATATAAAGCACATTACAAGAGGTCCACGTCTGAATAACACATGAATCGTGTAAAAAAATCCATTACAAGTGATTAAAAAAGATCTCACTACAAAAACAATTTTAAAAATGTTGAGTACCGTATGCGGCAGGAGGTACACTGGTGACATTTTTATAATGTACTATACAATGTGTCTATTCAGACTTAATGACTTTGCACAAACAATTTTTTCTATTTTGAAAATGATTAATATACCTGTTCGTTGTGCTAAACTTTCTTCAACGTTAACACCTTGTAATTGCACGTATATATTATACTCCTGTCCAGGCGTCAATCCATCAAACAGATGAGTTTGTTCATCACTCGGTAGTTTGAATATCACGTTTAGCTCAGCATCTTCAGGTTCTATTCTTACCAAGTAACCTGAAAAAACCGTCCCATCCTCTGCACTGCCCCACGTGACATATATAGATGTGGTGCTCACAGCTTTCACTACGATCTCACCGGGACTAGCAGAATCTGTCAACAAAAACATAGCATAACAGTTAAAACCTAGCCCTTTTTTCAGAATATAGACTCTTGCACTGTGACATCATACTTTACATTTTCACCAAAGAGCATGCAGATGTCTGATAAAAAATGTCAGACACTGATCAGCTCTAGCTTACGAACTGCTGTGACAAGGTTGCCCACAGTGTCATATATTTTAATAAGCACAGTTAGTTTATCTTCGGTTGCAAGTACACTTATTTCAAGTCTCTGTGCACATGCGCAAAATGTACAAAATAAGTATAATGGCCCACATACTGGAAGGAATAAATCAGAAGATGCATTAGGTGTTATAGTACATATATTTCAAATTTAGGTTGAAAAATTGTTTCGAAATCAGAACCATGAAAAATAGCTCCTGACATGTTTTTATAAAGCGGGGAGTCGTCACCTGTGCATGCGTCAAATAGCCATAGCGTGTCATTGTTTGCAAACAAGCGTCTACCCATGAGCCTTTGCATTTTTAGCGCATGTTGTTATCGTCGCTTGGGACTCAATTCCTGCGCATGTGCAAGTGATGACCCTCCTGCTTTAAGATATATAATACACTATACATACCAGTTGTGACAGACTCAGTCACAGAGTCACTCTGTGTCATATCGTCACCAGAACCAGACGTAACGAACAATTCAAAAGTGTATTGCTGGTTTGGTGACAGTCCAGTGAACGCCATAGTAGTAACATATGATGCAAGGGTTAGAGGTGAGGCATCCAAGCCGTCCACAGGGGAGTATGAGATTACGAAGTTGTCAAATAAACCAGTGCTCGGTGCATCCCAGGATAAGTCGATAGTAGAAACGGACATGTCAGTCACGGTTAGATTAAGCAGTGCCAGTGGTTCTGAAAATAACAAATGTGATCATTAACCTGCATTTTTCATGCCAAAATTTTGGTAAAAAAATTTCTTTGATTCATAATTTCAACCCAAATAGACATAATTTCTCATCTACTTTATTTATGCTTCAACTCAACTGTGAATTTGTTTATATGTGTTGCACTTCTTTCTGACACTTTGGGAAACTTGCTTTCACAACAAACAGCATCTATCAGCTGCAACTATGAAATTAGTAACTTTTTTTGATATCATAAGGCATACAAGTTCACAAATTAGCAAGAGTGGACAAATGTATGTGTCTGCTTGTTATAATAATTTAATGAGTGTTAATAAAGGCATATTAGAGATCAAATACACGTACAGTCCCAGGAATTCGGTGAAAGGGCTCTACAGCCAGTTGAAAACTGGACCCAAAACAACGCTAAAGGTGCTTTTAACCTTACAAAATGGTATTTTTCATCAAAAATGACCAACATTTTGCAAAACATTACAGTCCAACATAAGTTTATATCATTTCACCACCAGTTCCCTCTTTTCATAACAAGTTCCCAAAATAGTCCTGTTAATAATCTGCACTTTTCGTCAATACTAAAAATAATATAAATACTAAAAAGAATATTTTGAAAATATCAATGACAATGACACATACAGAAAAAATTACAAGCCAGCTTAATGTATACTCAGACTGTACAATAAATCCAATAACATACATCAGGAGAAAACAGAGGTACAATAAATAAATGCAAAAATAATACATACTTGTTCTCTGTGATATTTCGCCAGTGGTTACATCACCGTCAATCGTGAGAGAGATTCCTATGATGTACAGTGAACCTGGAGTAAGTGATGTGAATGAAAACTCCAAAGGATCTGTGGGTGAATGGGCAGTAGTTTCCTCATTACCATTGTTGTCGTTGAGTGTTATCAAGTATATTGAGCTCTCATCGTTCTCCTTTCTTCCCCACATGATGTCTATCTCACTTGTTGTATACTTTCTGATGATTATCTCTAATGGCGTTAGGATGCCTATAAAATGCACAAAAATGTTTTAATATTAATAATTCAGAAGAATAACATATACATTGTGCCTAAGATAATCCACAATCCTAAGTGACATTGTATCAACAGACACTGGTTGGCAAAAGTTTGGCAAATGTCACCAATACAGTTTTACATGTGTTTGTCTATAAGCTTTATGCATTTTGAGAAAATGCGTTTTTTTAAATTTTTAAATGTTTGTTTTTTCTTTACTACAACTTGATGAAGTTTGATGTTATGCCAAGGATGGTAGCACTTTTTATCAATAGCAATATTATTAAAATGTGTAATTAGATAGAGACCACTAATTGGTTAAAGGTAATCATGTGATATGCTTTGTCAATAGTGATATTATTCAAATGTGTAATTAGATTTGTTAAACTGGTTGGGTAAAAGTAATAGTGTGAAATGATTTGTCAATAGTGATATTATTCGAATGTGCAATTAGATGGAGAACACTAATTGGTTAAAGGTAATCATGTGATATGCTTTGTCAATAGCGATATTATTAAAATGTGTAATTAGATAGAGACCACTAATTGGTTAAAGGTAATCATGTGATATGCTTTGTCAATAGTAATATTATTCGAATGTGTAATTAGATTGGTTAAACTGATCGGGTAAAAGTAAGCATGTGATATGCTTTGTCAATAGTGATATTATTCGAATGTGTAATTAGATGGAGAACACTGATTGGTTAAAAGTAATCATGTAATATGATTTGTCAATAGGGATATTATTCGAATGTGTAATTAGATAGAGAACACTAATTGGTTATAAAAGTAATCATGTGATATGATTTGTCAATAGTGATATTATTCGTATGTGTAATTAAATAGAGAACACTAATTGGTTATAAAAGTAATCGTGTGATATGATTTGTCAATAGTGATATGATTCGAATGTGTAATTAGATAGAGAACACTGATTGGTTAAAAGTAAGCATGTGATATGATTTGTCAATAGTGATATTATTCAAATGTGTAATTAGATGGAGAACACTGATTGGTTAAAAGTAAGCATGTGATATGATTTGTCAATAGTGATATTATTCAAATTTGTAATTAGATGGAGAACACTAATTGGTTAAAGGTAATCATGTGATCTGCTTTGTCAATAGTGATATTATTCAAATGTGTAATTAGATTTGTTTAACTGATTGGTTAAAAGTAATTGTGTAATATGATTTTTCAAAAGTAATATTATTAAAATGTGTAATTAGATTGAGAACACTAATTGGTTAAAGGTAATCATGAGATATGCTTTGTCAATAGTGATATTATTCAAATGTGTAATTAGATTTGTTAAACTAATTAGTTAAAAGTAATCGTGTAATATGATTTTTCAAAAGTAATATTATTAAAATTTGTAAATAGATAGAGAACACTAATTGGTTGAAAGTAATCATGTGATATGATTTATCAATAGTGATATTATTCAAATGTGTAATTAGATAGAGAACAATAATTAGTAAAAGTAATCATGTGATATGATTTGTCAATAGTGATATTATTCAAATGTGTAATTACCGGTAGATAGAGAACACTGATTGGTTAAAGGTAATCATGTGATATGGTTCATACCTGTTCTCTGTGTTGTAGATCTTGGCATACTGATCTGTTGGTCTTCCTCTGCACCAGCAAATGATGTGATCACAATATTGAAAGTTGTCTCAGGTCTAAGCATAGTCATATGAAGGATCAGATCATCATCATTTGTGTAAGTTATAGGGGGCATTGGTATGCCTTCAGAGGGGTAGTACATGACTGAATAGCCATGGACTATGCCACTGGGTGCGGGGTCCCAAGCTATACTGATAGAAGTAGCAGTCAGACTTCCTACATACACATTGCCAGGCCTCTCTGGGTCTGTAAAAACATCAAAAATAAGGCTATAATGTTTGCAATGATGAGGATTCACTATCTAAAAAAATAAAAGATTTCCCCCATAAACATAGGCTTCAACACTACCAAACATGTACAAGAAAGAAATGTGAAAATTGTGAATCAAAGACTTGAAAATGCATTATTTTTTGTCATACTTTATCATGTTTGATATGGGTTCCATGCCAAATATAACACAAGTTTGTTTTGCTCGCTTGTTGTCACATTTTCACAAAATAAACCCACATAATGTAACCATGACAAAAGCAAAAGTCTGCCATTTGAACAGAAGTGATCTAAAAATCACAGTAAGCTCTACTCTCCTAGTACAAGAAATCCTGTAACTGACAACAATTTTCACCAAAATTAGAGAACTTAAGATATCATCACCAAATGACAATTGCGAGACATAAAATGTTGAAAAAATTGTGACAGGAATAAGAGTTGATTAAAACATTTGGGTCAAACCTGGGATAACTCTAAACCGGTCAAATAAAACCAAATTTCGTGGTTTCAACTTCAAGACAATAGACATCCCAGGGGACCACATGAATATGCATGAAAACAGCAATTCAAACCGCTCTTATTCACACCCTTCAAGCCATTGATTATTTTGTTACGCTTGAGTTGTTCAAATTAGTACAGTATAAAAATCTGAATACATACAAATACTTCATTTTACTTACATGTTCTAATTTCCACACTTGGATTGTTATCAGATCCTAAGATCTCAAGTGTAATAGTGTACAACTGTCCAGCAGTGAGTCCAGTAAACACATGCTCAGTGCCATCATTGGCGGCATAAAATTGTCTGGCTAACTCATCATCAGATCCACTCTCTTGTATCTTAATATTGTACCCCTGCGCTGCCCCATACGCAATCCACATGGCTTTAATGGTGTTGGTTGAGACTTCTTTGATAATGATATCACCGGGCTGTGCATCATCTGATGAAAATAATAATATGAATTGTTAGCCTAAAATGTTCACAAGTGTCATGCCATCTAATTTGCATATTGACATAATTTGCATAATGTTGGTTCAATTATTTTTAACAATAATATAGAAAATAAACTACAATTTAGTCAAGGAAAAGCACAGAAATTACACAGAATTCCCGAGCACTCAGACATAGCTGGATATGATATATCTCAGCAGTAAACAAGTTGATAGAAAGTGTAAAACTAGAGCAAGAATCTCTTACCATTCAATTGTGAGAATTTTAATTCTACTGCTACATCTAGAGAATTTTAAATCTCTTCAACGAATGTAGGACAATATCTATTTTTGTGCATGATGAAATGAATGAGAATATACATTCAAATACTCATTGATATACCGGTAATATCACATCTTGCAGATCTACACATAAGACTATTACCAATAGTGAATAAACTTAATATTTGTGACTATTGTTTTCTTGAAAGTTCATGCAAGACATTTCTGGGCCCAACACGGTAAAATAACCATGCTCGACACAACCCGCTGATGTCATTTTTTTCGAATTTTTTTTTAGCTATCCAAAGGGGCTTTTAACAAGTGATGTTTTATAAAGTATGGATAGATACTGATACTAAAAGTTGTCAAACAACACTATGCATACAGTATGCAAATTAGCAAGCCAATACAGTAGGCATAAAACATGCAAATTGGCAAACCAATACAGTAGGCATACAACTGGCAAATTCGTACACCAATACAAGTATGCAAATTGGCAAACCAACACAATAGTCATACATTATGCAAATTAGCAAACCAAACCAGTAGGCATACAGTATGCAAATTAGCAAAGCACAGTTACTAAGTATACTGCAGATTGCTACATTTCAGCTTGTTCTTAACCAATAAAAGCAATTTGAAAATCATGTAATGTCAAAGGTCATAATGTACAAAAAAAATAATAAATTCATTGCGGAATTACATTATATACTTTATGCTAATTTAGCCATCTATTTATGCGGAAAATACCCTTTAACCCTTTGAGTCAACCTTTGGCATTACAGTATTTCCAAACACAATTTTTCTACAATTTTTTTTTTAAAATATGACCAAGACCTATAGACAATATTATTAATTATGTCATTTTGGTCTGAAATTACCGAAAAAATTATAAATAGAAAAAAAAAAAGGTAAAATGATTCACCAAAATTTTGATTGACAAAATGATGAGCTCAGAGGGTTAAATAATAAAAAGTTGAATACTGACAGACTATCTTAGAAACATTTTCTATTGTTTTAAATACTTGCCATGCAATTTAGCATGCAACTAAAGCATTGCACATTTCCCTCGCAAACGATTTCCTTACTAATACAACTACACAGAAACATT